CGTAATCCACGTAAGTTCCCGTCGAGGAATACTTACGTGCCTTTTCAACATAACTTCAACGTAGACTTGGAGTCGCCGCACTCCACGTAAGTGCTTCCCTATGAACACTTATATTCCTATGGAACCTTGACCACAGTCAAGAAGTTCCTCTTCCCTTTTAAGGGAACTACAAATACTCTGATTCCATCCCTTATCTAGGATACATAGACACAAGATGCCATTTCTTGGCGAGTATGCTTAGGACTAACACCTTAGGTCATTCTCTTTACCTTTAACCCTTTAACACATCTTTAACAGATATAGATATACCAAATAGCACATTTTAAACAAGAGGTTCCTGTAGAGTACTACAGAAGTTTAGGATGCTAATACCTTCCCTAAGCTTAACCAACCCACGTACCCTAGATCTCTCCCCGCATTGTGTTTACGATGCAAAATAGGTTTTTCCTTCTTTAACCTTTCCTTTGGATAAATCAAATTCTGGTTGTGAATCTAATATTGTGATTCAAATTAATCAAAATAATTTGATATCCTATTCTCACTGCAACACTTAAGTTTTCTTTTAAGGTTTTCGACTTAGCAGGCTTTATTTAGGCATAATATTTTATGACTGCATCATAATTCATGGGGTGTGCAAGCTCTTCACTATCCATTGTTGTGAGCCTTAGTGAATCTCCAGAGAAGGATGTCTTCACAACAAATGGGCCTTCATAATTAGGAGTTCACTTTCTACGCATGTCTTTATGAACTGGTAAGATTTTCTTAAGTACGAGTTCTCCTTCTCTGAATTCTCGAAGACAGACCTTGTTGTCAGACGCCCTCTTGATCCGCTTTTGGTACAACTGACCATGACACATTGCAGTCATGTTTTTCTCATCAATGAAGTTCAGTTGATCAAATCTATCTTGGATCCATTCTGCTTCGTCCAGTTTGGTTTCCATAAAAAATTAGAGATTATTTATCTCGGTTTTCCTAAAAACTGAGGTAACATATCCGACGTAAAATATATGACAGTTAAAGGTGTCTTTTTGGTTCCATAGAAAACATAAAAGTGCAGAAGCTGGGAATCGAATCTCAAACACTGAGAATATTGTTATATCACCTTTACGTAGAACCGAGGTAACAAATTGATTATTATTATTATTATTATTAAAAAAAACGAGGTGCTCCTGTTACATACACCCTCGGTTTTATATTGTTCATTATGAAAGTTTCATCATAAAAAAAAGTTATTTGTTGTAGTGCTACTAAGGTCTCTAAGTATCTCATGCCCTTGCAAGAATAGCATGCACACATGTACTTTTTGACCAATACACATATTAATGTTGTATTGGAACTATAAAGTGACTTATAATTTATGACTATTTTTTACAAAGTGATTTATAATTTGAGACAGATGTATGTATGACAACAAACTTGTACCCACATATACTCAGTTGAACCCACCCCGAGTTTGATTGAGTTTGGGTTTTTCCTAATTATAGAACTTAGGGACGAGTCGGGTAATAAGAATACAAGTACCCACTCTGAATCTATCCCGTTTATATAAGTTTGTATTTTACTAATTATATTTTATAATTTGAAATATTGGTTGTACGACTAATGCTTTGATATTTTAGTATTTAATTTATTATTTGAAATATATTAAATATATGTTTGGAAATTTTTTAGAATATTTTTATTTTTTATTAGTAATATAATTTTATTTTGAGAAAAAAGATTATTTTTATTAAAAAAATAATCGAACCCAACACAAATTCATTCGAGACGAGTTTGAGATTCAATTCTTCATCGCAAACATAGATAAGAGCGGAGAACGAAAATTTATATAGGAAAGGTAAAAAAAGTCTCATCTTTGCCCACTTGTCATGCCTAGACGTATGATGTATTAATTGGTTAGGGAGTTTCTTATCCCACCATATGGGATGGAAAAATACCCTCTAGAAAATCCAAAATGTCTCTTTGACTCCGGAGATGCATCTCTGAACACACCATGTCTTAAATTAAAATTATAACTGATCTGAAGATGAATCTCCGTAATATTTTAAAATATACACCATGCATCCCACTCTAAAGTACATTTTACACGATTATTATTCCGAAAGTGCATCTTTGTTTAGGGTTTACGGAGATACATCTCTGTATCCTATCAGAACAGTGCATGTTATGTTTGTTTTATGGTTTACATAGCTGAAAGTGATGATTTGTAAACATTAAGAACCTTGTTATATGATGAGATTTAAACCATACAACCAATACGCAAAAATAACATATATAAATTCAGACAGTCCAAAAAGACATATAAATAAAGTCGAAATACATGATAAAGTAGAATGAAGTGAAAATAAAATACAATCTAGAATGAATCCAAAGTACAACTACTATATATTATTGCACTACTGCGTATGTCGGACTCCATTTCCTCTAACTCCTCTGGATCCTCGGGCTCCTCGGAATTCAATACCCTCATCCTTTGACGTTGTCTTTGGTACATGAATACCTTTCATGTCTCCATCATGATGGCATCTAGGACCTGCCTCACATCAGACTCATCAGGGAAGATACCTTTGTCAATGTTCGTTTGTGCAATCTCCACTATGCAACGATATCTAGGCAAGACACCATGAGCATGATCTAACTGTGCTTGCTCCTCCTATAGTATCTTCTAATGAGCTAGCCTTGGTGGATCTCCTGGATCTGTCAGCACCATATACGGATGTGACACCCTAAAGAACCACCTGATATACTCGTCAACGTAGCTCCATTCGTTCTCAACTATGGCACTTTGTGTCTCCTCCAGTATTAGATGACTAAGATAATCATCAAACATGTCATCCATCTTTCTACGCGTCATAACATAAGGAACAAAGACAATAAGGTGTTTGGGAATGGTCTGAGTGTAGTCGAACTGCCGTATCACACACTCAGGCAGACGAGGAGCAGTGAGACGTGATTCACAAGCCAAACATCTTAAGTATAACACTATATCGTCAAATGCCCGCGTCTCACGTTGAAAATTTTCGAAGATGCATCTTCGAAATTTTCTACAACTCTTCAAGTCCATCAATGGCAACAAATATGTCTTACAGTATGTATAAACTATCAGTTATGCAATTCCTACTCATTTCTTACCAAAATCATCATTTTCTAATCATTTACACAACAACTCAAAAAACTTATCAAAACATTAAAATTTTACAAATTTAGACTTTACTCCGGTGTTGGATGATGTCTCTGATGTACTTGATGTTGATTGAAGATCCTTTGAGTTTGATTGTTTGATTTTGGATTTGGTTGATAAAATTTATTTGAGAGAGTTTGAAAAAGTTTAGTTTTTTTAAAAATAAAAAAGAAGAAGGGTTATGGTGCGACTTAAGCCTCAATATCGTCCGAAGATTCATCTCCAAAATAAGTTTGAAGATGTATTTTTTAAATATTTTAACGTTAAATAAGAATCATCTAAGAGAATTTTAGTATTTTCACGTGATGCTTAATAATATATATAGTGCATTAAGAAATTCCCACTGTAATAAAATCCTTTGGGAATGGGCCATAAGCGGACTCTGGTAAAAGCCGCAGAAGTTTCAACCCACAGACCTTGTCACAAATGAGCATGCTATATTGGCTCTTTTTTTTTTGTTGAGAATTTCTTAATCCACCCTTTGATACTCTTAGGCACCTAGCGCATTTCCTTTTATGCCCCATACTTCCGGAGATACATATTCGGACGCACATTTTTTTTGCCAAAATTTAGTTTTTTCCGGAGCTACATCTACAGAATAATTTTAAATTGGTAAACGCTGGGAAAAACTTCAAAATAATTCAGTTCAGGGAAACTTCCGTAGATGCACCTCTGGAATGTCTAAGCGTCAGATTGTCCCATAGATACAATTTCAGAAGTTTCTGCTATATTTGAAACCTACATGATCACTCCCCCCATTGTTGTGTTTTCTTCTTCCACACTCACCTTCAACAACCTAAAAAATCCTACATTCTCAATATCATTTTTTACTCAAAAACTTCAATTTTTTCGTGCAAGCCTTCACCTAGGTTTTCCTATAAATTTAGGACTTCATTTGTTATCTTTCACACAAATACAAAAATGCCTCAATTGTGTGAAATCAAGATTCGTTGGTATGTCGCAAGTGTCTCTTTTTCCGAGGACGTTTAAGCTCATGGATCACACCCCCTCGCCGATATCATAGACGAGATCCAATATCGCTTACCTTACAATGACAAACGAAAACTTGTGAAGTTTGAGTACCGTTCACCTTCAATTGACAACGAATGGAACATTGTTTACAACAAGTTTGAGCTCAAGAATCAAGACGATGTTAGGGCGATGTGGCGAACATATTTCAGTTTCGAAGAGAAAATTTTGCTCGAGTTGGAGGCGACGTTGCGAATAATGGTCGATGACATCTTAGAGATGTGCAAGCGTCCACCAGACTATTGAAATGTATTATTTAAATTTTTGTCAAAATCATCAATGTAACGCCGATTTTATTTTATGAATGTTGATTTTATCGTTGCAATGTTGATTTTCTAATATTCTGTTTCTGGTTTGTTCCGTAAATATGCATACAGAAATATTCCGTAGATGCATCTACAAAATTAATTAAAAAGAGGTAAAAAATATGTATCCGAAGATACATCTCAAAAATCATGAGGTATTTTAAACAGAGCGCATGGTACCTAAAATGACCAAGAAGTAGAATAAAAAATTCTTTTTTTTTCCAACCACTTAAAACACTACACCTGTACATGGACACGTCATGATGGTATAGATTTGGAATTTAGGTATGTTCCATCGACACGTAAGGATTTGGAATTTACTCGGAGTCTCTGGTCTATTCTATAACACAATAACACAGTTGATTTTTTTCCTCCAATGTATCATTAGTGAAATAAAAATAAATTAAAAACTTAAAATAGAGTGCGATATATAACCAATTGCCCCTTTCCATTTTTCAATTCAATTGCATCAATTTTCTTCACCCATGGCTTACGTCGAACGAGGTATTATCATCCTCTTCTCATTTTTTTTCTTCATTTTTTCTTTCAATTTTCTGTATTATTACTATTTAGGTTTAGGTGTTGATTCATATGTGGTATCTTCATTTTGTATATACAATCTCTGATCCCGTGTTTTCAGATTCAATCCTTTTTTAATTTTGTTTTCATGTATTTCACTTTCAAATACGTGAAATTTGAAATTTCCGAATTTTCAATTGTTTATGGTTCGAGAATCGTCGTGATGAACGTTTCTATGAAATTTGTCCTAATTTCCTTTTGGTATGATCATCCTAGTTACCCTAATTTACCAGTTTTTATATGTTGAGGCCTTTGGGAAACTTTGCATCCATGTTATTACAATTCTGAAACTAGGGTTTTCAATTTTAACTTCAATTGGTTGTGAATGATGTTTTCATTTTTTATGTTTTTTTTTTGGGAATTCTGAAGATGCATAAACTATCACCTCGCCTTTTGAGGTTAATACTTTCATTGTTTTCCATTATTTTGGGTCCAATGTAATGACAATAGTGGAGGTGATGAAGAAAGATCACTGTTACTTCCCACTTGGAGATGTTTATTTGGTGTAATTATTGAAACAAGGGTGCCCGTTTAGATTTTTGGATCAATATCTTTTGATTAATTTCTGGGGCATACTGTGGATCAATACCTCGCCTAAAATGTTGTCTATGTTTCTTAATCTTGAAGGATTTTTGTAAGAACTTAAGTTTGATAACAATTTATCAAATAGGGGTAGGCTTTGTGGCCAGTGGCCACTCTTTGGTGTTCTGGTCATAATCTCTTAGATAGAATCAAAGCAAAAGCATAATTTTATTGAAAGAGGGATTGTGAGTTGGAAATCTCCCCCTTCATAGTAAATCACTTCTTTAACTTCACAATAAATCACTTCTTTAACTTCACAATAAATCACTTCTTTAACTTACAATTATCAAATGTTAATGATTTTCTCCTTTATCTATGTATCTCCTATTTAGGCATTACATTCTCTCTAACCGACCAATGATCTGAACTAATCCTGACAAAATTCTATTTCCCCTTTATTCTTTATCCAATAATACCCCTTCAAAGTTTATAACTCAATTTGCAGAATCCAATTCTGTAGCTTCATTTGTCTCCCTTCTGCTGGCAATATGTTGGTTAGCCTCTGGTGGCTCCAACGGTCTTTGAGACATGGTTGGACTGTTTGACCTGTTTAAATTGGATATTATACACAACTGCTGTCTGAAAATTTTGTTCCGACGGTTCCGGTTGTTCTGCCTCTGGGAGCTTCTGAGTCTGCCATAGTACTCATTCTCACCCTCAACTTCGTTCATAATGAAACATCTGCCACAGTATGAGCTTTGTAGTTTGACACACCTATTGGGGAGTGAGTGTTTCTTCACAGTATGTTCCTAGTGTGACACATCTGACTTTGCTAGTGAAGGCTGTTGATCTGTTTTTTGAGTGCTGATTCAGTCAGCTGATCGTACATGTCAATTTGGTTATGCCAATTATTTCTGTTGATTTATTTTCATTTATTTTGTTTGCCTGTATAGTGTTTTAAAGAAGAGTGTGACATTGTAATTCTAACTCATCACACACAACGTTTGGCCTGTTATTTTTATGTTCTCTCTGCCGTTGCATGATTTGATAGCATTATGAGTTGTAACACTATAGCAAGCTTACCAACTATACAGTTGTGCGTTTAGAACTTGATGTCTGGAATGTTATATTGTAACATGTATGACAGTTTTTCAGCCATGTATTGAATCCAAAATAATTCTTGACATTACAAAATGATTAATGTGTATTTTTGTGTGTGCAGGTGTTGTTAAATCAAAGCCATCAATATGGCGAATCAAGACAATTACTGATTTTTTCTGGGCCATTGTTAACTTCATAGGCGTGTTTTTCGCTACGATGTTCTCGGTATTAATATGTTTCTTGATCCCTATTATAGATTATATGATAGATCTTTTGTTACGAAGTTAATTAATTCCTATGATGTTTTCATCACCCATTAGCTGGAAAAGTCAGATGCCTACAGGAAAAGGTCTGCTGGTAAGAAATGGTCCGGGGGAGGTCCTGGCGGTGGTGGCGGCGGCGGTGGAGGAGGTCCTCGCGGTCCTCCTCGTGGTGGCCTCGACAATGTCCGTGGGCTAGATAGTGTCCGCGGAGGAGATCATAGTGAGTTTATATTTTTGATCTTTTGGTTATTTAGATAGTTAGTTTCCTTTTCTAATAAGTTACATCTCTATTTTTCAGGTTCATTGCCTGCATGCGGCTCATGCTGTGGTTGAGTGTGTTAAGATCCCATCTGTCTATATTTGTCACAGTTTGTATCTGATTTTCGACTGACCTAATATGCCTATATCAATACGAGTTTCAGGATATGTGTGCAAATAGGTTGAAACAGCTAAAAACTTGCATCATAATACTTGTCTTGCTTGGGTATTGATTAAAAATCCTACAAATATTCAATATTATCATGCTTTATAGTAAGTGCTTTTTAAATATAAATTATGTAATTTTTTATTTTATAATTTGCTGATATCTATTACTCCGAGGTCATATGCAAAAGAAGTAAAATTAAAATTCACCAAATTTAACAAAAAGTGCTAGTACTACATCTCTACACAATTATTTTCTATTTGGTTGAGATTTAAATGGGTTCCACTGATCTCTAAATACAAGTTTTCAATATTCTTTCTAATTGATTGGAATTCGATTGGCTTTCACTAAACTATGTACGCTACCTAAGTTTAGTGAGATTTATTTTTTGAATTTTAGCAATTGTTCACTAACGCTTAAGGAATTATGAGCATTTGATTTACATTAAAACATACACCGTATCAGAGTTTTTATTATATATTTGTCTTGCGACTTTTTTTTTTTGTTTTCTACAGTTTTTTTTTTTTAAATATCTATTTCAATCATCGATGATTAAAATATACAATTTTTTTTTTAAGATTATAAGATTTTTTAAAATTTATAATATACTATTGTGAATAACTTTAGAGTTTAATGGAGATGCATAGATAGGATAAAAAGTTTTAAACTAAAAATATATTATTCTGTATAAATAATTTAAAAATTTCAGTATGATTTGATAGAATATATGATCTAGGATAAATGATTGTTATTATGATTTAGGATTCATCAATCTGTCTTAAATTAAATTATACCTCAATGCATTATCTTTTTTTGTAATAATTTTATCTACAATTTAAAAATAAAAAGTCAATTTTTTATCATCTAACTTATATAATTAACGGATAAGTATATTTTAATTAAATATTAAAAAAATTGAATAGTTTAAATATAAGAGTTTTCTTTTTTCATCCCATGATTTTTATCATAAAATTTTTGTGTTGACAAAAATATCTTCTAGATTCTAGAATTCAGAGTTTGTTTTAAAGTCTCAGAATTCTAAAATTTAAAATCATCTATGAACAAAAATAAGAATTGAAACGCTATTAATTAAATGAAATTTAATATTATGTTTCACAAACAATAAGTTACGAATAACTGAAAAAAAATACGCATGTCATAATTTTATTAAAAATTTAATTGATATGTTCTGTCATATCATATTAAATTTAAAATTACTAGAATGATATGGTAGATTGAAGAATTTTTATTAGACGATAATATAAAATTATTTTATATATCAATACATATCAATCAAATTCTTTTATTAAATATTGTACGACGAATCAAACTTGAACAAATAACATTAACATATTTATTGCCATCTATGTCAAACTTCAATATGTTCAATGTACTCTGATCTAAGTTGTAACAATTTAATTTAATTAATAGTAATTAAAATTATATTAGTTGAAAAGAAAAAATTGGAGTAAAAATTAGATTGATTAGTAAGGAATAACATTTTTGTAATTAATGGGAGAAACACAATAGAAAATGAGCAATCACTTTCATTTAGATCAAAAACTGTTTTTCATTATTTCTTTCTTCCTTCTCGATTCAACCATCCTTTCTCCATAATCAAAATTATCAAATTTTAAATTTTGACTACAAACTACCATTCAAATATGAAATCTTCTTCCTTCTCGATTCAACCATCCTTTCTCCATAATCAAAATTATCAAATTTTAAATTTTGACTACAAACTACCATTCAAATATGAAATCTCATCGAAAACATGACATATTATCACGAAGATCTTACATTTTATTTCTTCTACTTTTTATGTTAGTGCAAATGTGAGTGGTTAAAGTCACACATTATTTATGAATGGGTGAAATGTTGGATTTATAAGAGAGATGATCCATTTATCTAACATCTTAAAGTTTTGGGTTGAGATGTGATGTCTCTCTCTTGTGGTCCTGAAACATTAGTCTCATTGGTACTTCCGACTCTTTTGGACTCCCCATCAATGGTATCAGAGCCGATGGTTTGAGTAAGAGACCGACTTCTTGTGTCGAAAGTCTTCATGACAAGGTGGTCAGGTGGCGTGTTCCGTAGAAGTTCCCATGACGAAATAAGAATGTCTCTCAACGGCGGTACAAATATGTGGATGAAAGAGCTTCTGCTTGAGGATGGACTCACACTTGAGGGGGAAGATTGTTGAGAAACAAGTGAGTTGTGTGGAGAAAAAAGTGTGAGCTCTAAGTCTCACATTGCTTAGAAAACTGGAGGTTGAACACTTTATAAGTAAGAGGACCTATACACCTATCACCTAAAAGTTTTAGGTGAATATGTGGTGTCTCTCTCACTTGTTTGAGTGAGTCTTTGACCTTTAGGTGAGTGTTTGAGCTAATGTATATGCTTTCCCCTCATGATGACCCATCATTTCATTTGTATCAAACAGCTTCAACAAGTTGATCAAATGTTCTTCCTCCGTTTGCGATTTTGCTATCATGTCATCAACATAAACCTCAATCTCATGATGAATCATATCATGAAACAAAGTGACCATAGCCCGCTGATAGGCTGCCCCTGCGTTTTTCAACCCAAAAGGCATTACCTTATAACAGAACGTCCCCCACGGCGTGATAAACATCGTTTTCTCCATATCCTCCGGTGCCATCTTGATCTGGTTATAACCGGAAAAACCGTCCATGAAGGAAAACACGGAATATTGAGCAGTATTATCAACCAATACGTCAATGTGGGGGAGCGGGAAATCGTCCTTCGGGCTCGCCTTATTCAAATCTCTGTAATTAACACACATCCGTACCTTGCCATCCTTCTTAGGCACAGGCACGATGTTGGCGACCCACGGAGGGTAAGTTGTAACGGCTAAAAATCCTGCGTCCAACTGCTTCTGGACTTCTTCCTAGATTTTCACAGCTATATCTGGTCTAGTTCGTCTGAGCTTCTGCTTGACTGGCGGACACTCTTCACGCAACGGCAAGCGATGAACCACAATGTCTGTGTCAAGCCCGGGCATGTCTTCGTACGACCAAGCAAAGATATCACTATACTCACGAAGCATTTCAACCAACCTTTGCTTGATGTCGCTCTGCAGCGCAGCCCCTATCCGAACATTCCTCACAACTACCTCAGAACCCAAGTTAATGATTTCAATTTCCTCCTGATGAGGCAGAATAACCTTTTCTTCCTTTCTCAAAAGTCTAGCCAGCTCTTCTGGTAACTCTACATCTTCATCAATCTCTTCTTTGGCTTGAAATATCGGATTATCAAAGTCGAAGCGAGTCATAGATGTTTCTGGCGCAGTGTCATCTGCAATGTGAATTCTGCAATGATAATGGTTAAATGCTTAAAATGATATGCAAAACAAGCATAAAGCCACATTGCCATTTTATTGTTAAACATAAAACATGAAAAACAAGGATTACATATTTGAATGCAGAAACGCCTTTTGATTAATTGAAAAAGATTGTGCAAGCATAAACAATAAGGCCCTGAAGACAAGAACCACTATGCTCCGGGTAGAACATAGGGTTGTACAAAAATCAGAAAAACAAAGTATTACTCTTCCGTTGTTACTTGAATGAATTCCTCGATAGTCCAATTGTTGGGGCTTTGTCCTGGAACGCATGGCCGTATCCACGAGTCCATATCACAGTCACTATCCCTGTCTTCATCTGAAACAATGTTGACCCGCTCAAAGATAACCCCGCCTTTGGTAAATTGTACCAGCCCTTTGTAGCGCGGCGCGCTCTGTGAGGATGACGAAGAAGATGAGTGGTATCCCAGACCAAACTTATCCTGCTTATAGGGTATATCCAACACTTGACCCCAACCTGGCGTTGCCCCAGCCTGTACCACTGCCTGGGCTTCTTTGAATGACGACATGGCCACTTCGGGCGCTTTGCTCACAGCAGACACTTTGTCTTTAACCTGTACCGTCTCAAAGGCTTGACAAAGAGTCTCATGGATTTCACCATCCACCTCAACATACTTAAATGAAGACAAATGACTGATCATTATATCTTTCTCTCCGCATACAGTGATGACGCTGCCACCCATCATATACTTGAGGTTCTGGTGCAGTGTGGAAGTTACAGCTCCTGCTGAATGAATCCATAGACGGCCCAATAAACAGCTATAGGCAGGCTAAATGTCCATAATATAGAATACCGCATCAAATACTTCGGAACCCACCTAAATAGGCAATGTCATCTCTCTAAACAGAGATCTTCTGGTACCGTCAAAAGCACGTACTACCAGGTCACTTGGTGTACAGATTAACCCTTTCATGTCCAACTTCATCAGGGCCTTCTTTAGAAGCACATTCAAAGACGATCCTGTATCTACTAGCACATGGGACAGGACAGATCCACGACATTCAATTGAAATGTGCAGCGCACAATTATGATTCCTGCCCCTCGGGGTCAAATCCAAGATTGTGAAACCTAGGCCGTTACCTGCATTGACGTGCGCTACAACCCTTTCGAGTTGGTTAGCCGATATCTCTTTTGGCACGTAAGCAGTATTCAATATTCTCAACAACGCATTTCGTTGCACTTCTGAACATAGCAACAACGACATAATAAAGATTTTGGAGGGAGTCTGTTGCAAGTGATCAACTATCTTGTAATCACTCTTTCTTATCAATCTCATGAACTCCTCCGCTTCCTTCTCCAAAGAACTCTTCTCTCCAGCCTGAGAAGTTTCCTCCACCATAGATTTCTTCCCCTTATCAACTCTGTCAGCAACCACTTCGGGTGATGAGAACACTCTCCCGCTTCGAGTGATTCCCCCAGTTCCAACTAGATTATCCACAGAATCAGTCGACAAGCTTTTCAATTCCTGTTTCTGCCCATTACAATACACATCCACTCCATAATTCCACGGAATTGCTTTGGTA